TTCAAATTAAAATGGGCTAATGGATTTTAAAATGATTTGGGCTTAAAAATTAAAATTATGAAATAATCTAATTTATTCAATTAATTTGCTAATTTGTATAGGAAAAAAATAAAATAATTTAATTAATTCAATATAAAAAATAAAAAAATTATTTAGTTTCGGTTCTTGTTCGGTTCTTCGGTTCTTGGTCTAGACCCGAGACCCGACCCAAACTCATCGGTTCTCGATTCGGGTACCCGTTCGGGTATTTAATTTATGAATAACCGCTCGATTCGGTTCGGGTTCGGTTCGGTTCGGTTCGGGACTTTTGGACACCCCTATCTGTTATTTCCTTTTGTTTTTTTTTTAAATTTTTCGAGTTTGGATGGTTTTGGACAAATGAGATATGTGTTTTGGTTTTCAATGTGGCGGATATGGTGGATTTGTGGAGATCGTGGTGGCAGGGGCGATGCGGTGCTTATGTTGGTGGTAGTGGTGGTTTTGGTGATGTTGGGGGGTTTTGGTGGTCTGGCTGCAACGGAGTGGGTCTGGCTGTGGCGGCGACTGTAAGGATGGTGATGGTAGGTGGTAACATGTTCAGATCGGTTTGTGGCTGTCGCGGGCGCTGTTGTTGTGATCGTAAGTTTGGTGAATCTACAGGCAGTGAAGGTGGTGAAAGGGGTGATGGTGTGGCGGTAATTTGAGGTGTGGTGTACTGGCGGTTGCGCTGGTGGTTGTAGTCGATTCCATTTTTTGGTTTTGTTTGCATTGTGGTGTGATTTGGGTGGTGGTGGTGGTGGTGGCGGCGACGGTTTGTGTTGTTGAAGTGGCGCTGGAGGCGATGCTGGTGCGGCTGCGGTGGTTGTGCAGTGATTTGGGATGGGGTTGTGGATGGATTTTGCAGGGTTGGTGTCTGTGACCTAGAAATTGTGACTGTGACTCACTGTAACAAGTTGTGACCAATTTTTTTTTTTTTTCTTCAATCTGTGACCTATAAAATTCGGTGGTCACAATATAAATTTTGTGATTGTGATCAATAAACAATTTGTGACCAATGAGTTCAATAAACTGTGACGAGTACAAGCTGTGTGACCTAAAAATTACTAAATTGTGACCTAAAAATTATTAATTTGTGACCAATAAATTAATGTTTGTGACCATAAAATAAGTAACGTAACTTTAAAATT